AAGAAATTCTTTACAATGAGGGTGGTGAAACACTGGAACAGGTTGCCCAGAGAGGTAGTGGAGGCCCCATCCCTGGAAACATTCAAGGCCAGGTTGGATGGGGCTCTGAGCAACCTGATCTAGTTAGTGGTGTCCCTGCTCCTGTGGGGGGGTTGGACTAGATGACCTCTAGGGGTCCCTTCCAACCCAAAACATTCTATGATACTATGATTCTAAAGCCTATAACATAATGGTTAGTTTGCCCTTTCTTCTTGGAACAGGGTGTGTGCAGATGTGTAACTTTTGCGGACTGATGACGTAAGCCATGTAAGCAATTTTGTCTGTTCTCTAAAGCCTTTGGAAGACTGACTCTTTGAAAAGAGTGTTCTGCTTAGTCTTAATTCCAATATAATTGTCTTGTTACAGGAATGATACAATGGCTTCTTTAATTCAGTGTTGCAGAAAAGCCTCTGGGCACAGAAATTAACATAAGAGATCCTCAGTGTTGCTATGGATCTGTATGTTACAGATCTAGATGCTTATAATTGTTATCTTGAATTTGTAGTTATTCTGGTGTGGAGGATGGGAGAAAAGGGTGTAGGATAGGGAAGCCTGCAGTACTGCCGTCTTGAATATTAGTTACAAGCAGCTTAAGAAATTCATGCTTGTAATTAATCACTTCTAAAATTTAAAATTCAGACTTTCTTCATCCTTTAAAAATACCATTTTCTTGAGGAAGTAGGACATTTGGCAGTCTTATTTTCCTTCTTAAACTACCTTTCTTAGTTATAGGACTCTAAAGATTGGAAAACAAAAAATGCTATACAAAGAAAACTAATTTGGAACACAGAAAGGGGTCCTTTGATTAAGATCCTTTATAGAGGCTGTCTATGTGATACTGTGTAGTTACCTTACAGACTTTTCTGTGGTTCAGAAACCTTTCAAGGTTCCACTGGGCTTCGGACTGATAACCATGCTTCAGTACATTGCAATTATGGTGTGTATTAGCAAAGAAAATTTATTCCTCAACAAGGAAAAAGAAGTGGGGGGGAAAGCATGAGACAAGTAATTGTTTAAACAAGTACAAGACGTCTGGAAAAAAAAAAAAGTAAAGCTTGATTATCTGCCTTGTAAGATGATAATGTTGAGACATCTTCCAGGAAAGCCCAGGCAGTTAAAAGATACAGCAGGAAGGAGTCTCATTGCTGAAAAGCACAAATTTAGGAGAATGGCAAGGTACTGTGCTAGGATAATTAAGAACTGTTCCAGCCTAAATGCATCTTGGGTAAAGTTAACTAAACAAGACACAGCATTGTGGTTAACTGAGTAATGTACAATGTGTGGAGGCTTTCCAGAAAATAAACTTTTTGGTTCAGTTTAATCTGCCAAAAATTTATTTTCTTTTCCTTACAGCTGAAACTAATTGTAATGGATGCCAGCCTAGTGGGGCTAGATGAATTGTAAATTGTTTCAAGCAGAAAGTTGTTTCATACTGCAGTCACATGTTACTTAGAGGTGGAAAAATAAGCATTCCCTATTGGAAAAAAAAATGTACTAGCAGTAGTTAGGACATGACATTTCTGTGTTTACCTCTCTTGAATTTTGTCATTCCTCTAAATTCCTGTTCACCAGTGCAGCATGTAGACCTTACAGAGCAAAGAAATCCATGTGCTCTGTTCCAAGCAGGGCACTGGGGTTTAGTCACTAAATTGAGGTAGTTGCTTTTGCGTAAAGTGATTCTGGAAACCAGGGTAACTTCAGGGAAGCTCAGCAAGAGTCCTCTGATTCACAAGAACTTCCTCCTCGTGCTTTCATCCCAGCAATTCCAAACAGGTCCACCTGCCTCAAATGCTCCTTTTGAGTCAAAAGTGTCAAACTAAAAGGAGAACATGGACTTGTCAGGTGTCTGCAATCCCCACACACCTCTCTCCCCATTGCAGGTGTGTGTCTGCACAAGGTACCACCTGAGAGGAGATGGTGTGTGGATCTAAGCTGCCAAACAGCACTTGGCACCCTAAGTAGCTATTAAGGGGGGTTTAGATTTGCAGTCAAACTGGGAGATCTGGGAATAGGGGATCCTTGAACAAGAGAAGGAGCATCACCTGTGTCTTATGTTCTGAACATGCATCTGGGGGAGGGAGCAAATAGCACATGAAAGCTGTTGATACCTTCCCATTGCCCATAGCATAAAAGGCCATCACAGACCTGTACAACCAAATGTGGATGGGAAGGTAAGGCCCACTGTCACCTGATTTTCAGGATATTCTTGGAATCTAAATGTTGTATCAGGCTTGTCCTGATAACACAGTCAGGGTGTAACTTCATCCAAGATGAATAATGCAAAACATGGCTGTAACACACCTGTTAACGTATAAAGAATAAATCAGCAGATGTGAAGAAAAAGTTGTGGCTTTGCTGAAATGCCAAGGAAGCTGAGTGAGACTGTGGCAGTTATGGCAA